TCATCAGATGAAGGGTCTAGGCCCGAAACGTCAGCCTCTCTGCTCCTATGATGCTGCTTGGCCTGCTGTGTTCATCCAGCCCTGCACCTTGTTGTCTCGGATTCTCCAGCATCTGCAGTTCCTACTATCATTGGCTCATCCTAGCTTCTTCTAGGCTAATGCATTAATTTTTGTCCTTCACCTAAAGTAAAACCCCACAATATAAACAAACATCCATTAACACTCCAGGAGGCCTTCAGTCACCTGCTCTCTGACACAAAATGATTTAAAATCATGAAGCTGAAAGTTAATTTTTTTTGGCTGTGTCAACTTCGCTGAGTTTCATGCAGTTTCTTTCTATGAGGCCCTATATGTTTCCTCACACTTTAATCCAGAAGTCTCCTTATTAACTATCTGTGTACCTATGGCGCTCCTCTTGTCCAATGCTGACCACCCAAATCAACTGACTGACTGTATCATAACCGGTATTGGAGGCTGCCTGTGACTTCAAGCAGACCCAACGTGAGAATGCTAAGAGAGAAAGTGAACAGCCCTGAGATGTAGCCCATTCCAGGAGCTGGATATCCCTGCATGTAAAGGTCTTTACAACAACACTGCTGTGTACTAGATAGTTGCTAGTACAGTGTTTAGCTTGTTCATGGTGGGTGGTAGGATGGGAAGCTACATATTAATGAGATGACATCGGCAGTTCACTAGACCAACAACAAGTAATTATACAACTACTAGGCATCTCACTGCTGCCTAGCAAGAACTTCATCTCAACATTTGGACCTTTATTGGAAAATGAACCTTGTTTCTCCTGACATCAAGATAGGCCTTGCTTGACTTCTCACATGATTCTCCCAGATTTCTCGCTACAACCTACATCATTCAAGCCCCTGTAAGATTCTGTCCATGGTTCCAAAAAGCTCAACCTAATTAATTATTAAACTCCTTAACAGAAATAGATCAAACCCATATGAGGCTAGTTTAAAATTAAAACTGTAAAAAGTGATATTCAAACACCTTTCACATGTGGCAACTACCACTGTGCTAAATAGGAAAGATTTTGAATAGATCTAACAACTCAAAACTCAGCATCATCAGTCATGGAATTGTATTCAACCACAATCCATAAATGTATGGCCCATCATATGTGCTGTGATCCAAACACCTTCCTATTGTTCACCCACATCAATCATTCAATATTTAATTGCATTCAGGACAAACCATTGCTAAACTTACAAGGCAGATGATAAACTGATAGTCTTTGCCTTCGACAGCACCCTTGAAAATTGTATAAGTGATGGGTTGCCTTTGGCCAGAATTCACCTTTTTTTAATTCATTGCTGCTAACTTCAGCGTTGAGGTGCTCATGTTCAATTGCAAAACAGCAGGTTGCAAATTGCTGTTGACTAGCATTTGAATTCTCAGCATGTTCATTCTGCATGCATTGGAAATGAACGATTAAACTATTTCATTATATGCAGCTGGAGTTTGCAAGCACCTGCTTTCAGTATTTGCTGTTTCAATATACTTGCATTCAGCAGATATGGATTCTACACTTCTGCCTATCAAACTGATACTGAACCTGTCCACCGTGTGCATTGACCCAACCATTTTCCAATTGCATTTCACTCCTAGAGAACAGA